CTGAACATCTCTTGTTGGAAATTATATTATCTAACACCAAAATCTTACTAGGCGTCTTTTATAGCCTATCCCTCCATGTAAATTATTTCCCTTCATTTGAGAAAACACTTGAAGATCTGACTCCTCTATACAATCATATTATTTTTATGGGCAATTTTAACACTTGTATGTTAAAGAATAATCACCGCACTAAAAAGCTGCGCTCTATTACTGACTCGTGTAATTTACATATTCTGCCACTTAATGCTACACACACCTTGCCTAACTGTATTTCATCCCTGTTAGATCTATCATAGTTTCATCTCCTGATCACGTGTCAAAGCATGGTCAATGTGCAGCTGTGGCATTCTCTCATCATGACCTCATCTTTCTGTCATATAAAATACGTACTCCCAAATTTCGAGGCAAGGTACTGATGCTACAATATTTTAGTGGGATGAATAGAACGTATAGAACGTTTACAAGACGATTCCCGGAATGCTAACTGGTCTGCTGTATACTCTGCAGATTCTATAGACTTAAAAGTTGAAACATTTAATTACATTTTGATTGACCTTTATGACACCCATGCACCAATCAGACCAGTTAAAGTTAAACACACCCCTGCGCCTTGGCTAACAGACTATATTAAATCACTGTTAAATAAGAAAAATAAAGCTAGGCTTACTTATAACAGTGATAAATCGGACCACAATAGAGACAAGTATAGGAGCATACGGAATCGCTGCAATACAATTTGTAGAGACGCACAACAACGCCATGTTCAAAGATCAGTCGAGAACGGAGACCCTGCAAAAATTTGGAAGTTTCTCAGATCTATAGGAGTTGGAAAATCTAAAGAATCTACTATTTCTAATGAAGACGTTGACATTGAATCATTAAATCAACATTTCTCATCTACCTCTTCGTTTTCAAACGATAATATAAAATCATATACTTTAAACAATCTGTCCAAAGCATCAACTCCTAATTTCTCGCCATTCACCTTCAATCAATTTTCCGACTGTGATGTTAAAAAGAGCGTTTTGTCCATATCGTCAAGTGCCATGTGATTCAGATGTGATGAAATTAGCCGTAAAATGATCGTCCCCCTGATTGACATTATTCACCCTATCTTAACTCATATTTTCAATTACTCCATATCCTCTGAATCCTTTCCTCGAATTTGGAAGGAAGCAAATATCATTCCTCTTCCTAAAAAGAAGAACCCCTGTTCTCCCTCAGATTATCGACCTATATCTATCCTTCCATTCCTTTCAAAAGTCCTTGAACGTTTAGTCTTTGCACAACTTAACCTCTTCCTAAATAAAAATTCCCTTCTTGACTCCTTTCAATCGGGGTTGAGACTTGGTCATAGTACGGTTACAGCGTTACTTAAAATCACAGATGATATTCGCTGGGGTATGGACCAAAAACATCTCACATTACTTACGCTACTGGATTTCAGTAATGCTTTTAACACCGTCGATTTTGATGCATTTCTGAGTCTGCTACGCTCTATTAACATATCTCCAGCGGCAATTGAATGGTTTCAAAGCTATTTGCGTGGCCGCCGGCAGCGGGTTATGGTAGGGGGTGCCACATCTTCGTGGTGTGAACTAACTGCTGGTGTACCACAAGGTGGCGTGTTGTCTCCTCTCCTTTTTTCTGTGTTTATTAATTCTGTTACTTCACGAATTTCTTCTCTCTACCATTTGTATGCAGATGATCTTCAAGTTTACTCCCAAACATCACTCCAGAACCTTCCCAATGCCATCAATGACACTAATATGAATCTTGCTGCAATACATGATTGGAGCAGGTCGTTCGGGCTCAATTTAAGTCCCAATAAGACCCAAGCCATTATTGTTGGAAATAGTACTGTAATTTCCAGAATTTGTTGGGATAACCTACCACCTATTGTTATTGATGGTGTTGTGATACCTTTTAGTAAATCTGTAAAAGACCTAGGATTACACATTGATCAAAATCTTTCTTGGTCCCTACATATTAAAGAGTCCAGAAAGATGTTCGCGGCATCATCTTCCTTACGACGTTTGCGTAACTCATTACCGATTCCTACTAGAATTTTACTGGCACAGTCCTTGTTACTCCCTATCCTTGATTATGCTGATGTATGCTATTCTAATCTTACTGAGAATCAATTAAATAAACTTGAGCGTCTTCAGAATTTCGCTATTAGGTTCATATTTGGCCTCCGCAAATATGATCATGTTTCTGAGTTTCGTACTAAGCTCAAGTGGCTTCCTATCAGACTTCGTCGGAATACTCACATTCTATATCAGCTGTACTGTGTACTATTTGATCCTAAAACACCGAAGTATTTAAAGGAAAAATTTGAGTTTGCGGGTGCAGATAAAGATCATTCCAGATTATCCGATAAACTTATTTTGCGAATGCCTGCTCACAATTCAAAATTTTTTAATTCTTCCTTTTGTGTCAAAGCAATTAAATTATGGAACTCGCTTCCTTTAACGATTAAGAAAGCCCAAAACATTGAGTCTTTCAAAAAACTGGTTAAAAATTATTATTTAAATATGTGTTCTACTTAATATATTTAATTCTCATATCTACTATACTTGATAAGGTTTGTGTATATATGGTATGTATATAATGTGTCGCTATAATGTGTTACAAAAATATTTATAAATATGTATATGTATAAATATGTATGTGTATAAATATGTATATATGTGTATGATTATGTATGTATGTATATATATATATATATATATATATGTTATGTGTTATGTATGATTTTTTATCTATTATTTATGCACACTTCTATATTTTTGTATGTAAAAGATCTCCTTCACCAAGGTTTGCCTGGAAGAGATCGCTGTTTAGCGATAAGGCCACCTAATTGTACATAAATTTATCAATTTAAGTTTGTTGTTCTTTGTATTATTGTGTGTGCAATAAAGAGTATTGTATTGTATTGTACCGCCGAGCTTAATAAAGCTCTTTACTCATTAGTTTATATTTCCCAATTAGAGGCATTCCCCAAAAAATACGATTTATTTTTCGTGCCCATTTCTGGCCGCCCTTTTTAAAGGAGGTCGTATTCAGGCTTCTGAATATAGTTTCGACATGAAGCATCCCATGTTGTTAAGCCGTAAACACCATTTTACCCAACTTTTATTCCAACAAGAACACGTACGGCTTCTACAGCTAGGGCCTCAAGCCTTACTAGCTTCTATTAGAACGCGTTTTTGGCCCATAGGTGGAAGAAGTCTGGCTAGACGTACTGTGCATAATTGCACCGTATGTAGGCGTTTTAAAGGTCAGCCTATGAAAAACATAATGGGCAACCTACCTGCTCAAAGACTAATGCCCGACTTTCCCTTTATTACAGTAGGGACTGATTTCGCTGGGCCATTTATGATCACGGATCGCAATGGTCGTAGTTGTAAACATACAAAATGTTATTTGTGTATTTTAATATGTTTTAGGTATAAGTGCATCCACTTGGAGGCTGTTAGTGAGCTGTTCAAGGATGCTTTTATATTAACTTTAAAACGCTTTGTTTCGCGGAGAGGGTTACCAAAGCAGATATTATGCGACAATGGTGGAAACTTTGTTGCTGCTTCAAAGGAACTTAAAAGGTTTAAAGGAAGGTAACGCCAAAGCTATCGCTGATTTTGCCTGCAACGAAGGCGTTGAATTTTGTTTCTCGCCTGCATACGCTCCTCACTTCAATGGTCTGATGGAGGCCGGTGTAAAGTCAGCCCAATTCCACCTGGCTGGGATATTAGGGACTACGCACCTAACCTGTGAGGAATTGTCATCATTGTTCACACAAATAGAATGCATCCTTAACAGCCGCCCCCTACGTCCACTAAGTTCCTCTCCTACTGACTATTATCCCTTAACTCCGGGCCACTTTTTAATTGGTAGACCACTAAGCTCGCTGCCACCTCCGTGTCTACAATCCGATAATGCCAATTGTCTCGACAGATTCCAGCGCATCGAGCAGTTTAAACAACACTATTGGCGACGCTGGAGCCACGAATATATTGCGGAGCTGCAGTTAAGGACGAAGTGGCGCACGAAGTCCAAAGAGAGCCTACAAATTGACGACCTAGTCCTGCTGAAAGAAGAAAACGCTCCACCGCTCTGTTGGCGTCTCGGACGTGTAAGAAGACTCTTCACGACAACTAACGGATTGACACGCGTCGCAGACATAGACACTGCAAGAGGAATTGTGCGGCGCGCCCTAAATAGAATCGTTCTACTACCGAAGCTCGATGAGTTGAAAGTTCTTGAAAGCTGTTAAGCTTTCCAGTGCCGGGAGAATGTCGGCGCCGTTACGTCAGCACCGACAGTGTTCGCGGGGAGTACGAGAAGCGCGGGGGGTTTTCTCACCACCGCGCCTAAGGCCGTCACTCGCCGATAGCTCGCAACCCGATCACCACCAATTTAGTTTTTATTTTGATTATTCAAATAAACAATTTGCCTACCGTGTGAGTCGCCTATTTTATTCATGTACCCTAATTTAACAAGCGTTACCTAATTTATTTTATTTTAAAATGTTATAAAATGCTCGATTAGGCATCTTGAATAGACACTTGAAGTTTTTTGTTAAAGAAATCTTAAAACTTTGTATTTGGTGATTAACTGACAAAAAGCTCAGCATAGAAATATAACAAGACAGTGTTCTACTCACTTTGATACACTGAAAAGAAGAAAGACGCTGATGTGCAAGCAAAGTAAATTGAAGTAAATAAAAAACAAATTGCATCTATACCTAACACCCCTCTCTCCTCACTAAAATTACGCGACCATCAAACTTGTCGTTGGATATTTATTATGTTACATTTTCATTAGTGGTCATAAAAGATCAAATGTAAGATATTTATCTTTTAAAATTAAGTATATGTACGTATTTTTGTACTGTTAACCGTAGGTAATTCTTTTAATAATATAAACTTTATCGGAAAGACGGTTCTTTTCGAATAAATGCTAAGACGGGTACGGGTAGTGCAGGCAGACGCACTCACATCGGGCTGATGTGCCAACGCCAACGCGCTCAGGTAGTGGCGAGCGTGTGCGTGCACGTGCTCGTGATCATGCTCGTGCTCTTGTTCATGCTCGTGCTCGTGCGCGTTCAGCGACAGCTCGAGCGCCGCCGCCTCGTGCGCACCCGCAGCGCCCGACGCGCCCAGCAGCCGGCACAGCGCCACTCTGTGGACCATTCGGAATGCAGGAGGACGTGTAAACTCTGCACTGCAATAAGATGTAATAAAGACTGAAGACCGACAGATCGGACCGTTCCCACTACCCGAGGACGTGAAAACTCTATACAAACACAAATAGCGGTATACCCGCCCGGAAATAACGAAACTCAAACCCCATACACTGATAATAAGGGACAAGGACATTTCCGTTGCGGCCTCTCCTTCACAGACTCGCTTGCCCGCATGGTCATTCCGGAAAATCTTTTCAATTTCACGTTAAGTAATTTCATGTGTGGTTTATGTCCAGCACAGGATTTAAAATGACTGGTAATAAAAATTTGCCGTACGCTAGCGGTGTAAGACACTCCATCACCCCATTTATGCCAGAAAGATCTTATGGCTCTCGATAGATGGTGACTTACTCCTAGTATAAAATATTTAAAGCGGTCACAGGGAGCAAAGCGTGCTGCGATCGTCATCCGCCTGCTAAAGGTGACAATAAAGGTAAATCTTTCCAACAACGGAAGATCTCCCAAACAGATGATTATAACTTATTCGCAAAAATTTAAGTACCTATAGTACATCGGCGTGATGCTGCGTGCAGTGCGGTATGTACAGTGCGTCGGCGTGGTGTTGTGTGCAATGCGGTACGTGCAGTGCGTCGGCGTGGTGCTGCGTGCAGTGCGGTACGTACAGTGCGTCGGCGTGGTGCTGCGTGCAGTGCGGTACGTACAGTGCGTCGGCGTGGTGCTGCGTGCAGTGCGGTACGTACAGTGCGTCGGCGTGGTGCTGCGTGCAGTGCGGTACGTACAGTGCGTCGGAGGGTGCTGCGTGCAGTGCAGTATGTACAGTGCGTCGGCGTGGTGCTGTGTGCAATGCGTTACGTGCAGTGCGTCGGCGTGGTGCTGCGTGCAGTGCGCTACGTACAGAGCGTCGGCGTGGTGCTGCGTGCAGTGCGGTACGTACAGTGCGTCGGCGGGGTTCTGCGGGCAGGGCGGGACGTCCAGTGCGTCGGCGTGGTGATGCGTGCAGTGCGGTGCGTGCAGTGAGTCGGCGTGTTGCTGCGTGCAGTGCGGTACGTACAGTGCGTCGGCGTTGTGCTGTGTGCAATGCGGTACGTGCAGTGCGTCGGCGTGGTGCTGCGTGCAGTGCGGTACGTACAGTGCGTCGGCGTGGTGCTGCGTGCAGTGCGGTACGTACAGTGCGTCGGAGGGTGCTGCGTGCAGTGCAGTATGTACAGTGCGTCGGCGTGGTGCTGTGTGCAATGCGTTACGTGCAGTGCGTCGGCGTGGTGCTGCGTGCAGTGCGCTACGTACAGAGCATCGGTGTGGTGCTGCGTGCAGTGCGGTACGTACAGTGCGTCGGCGTGGTACTGCGTGCAGTGCGGTACGTGCAGTGCGTCGGCGTGGTGATGCGTGCAGTGCGGTGCGTGCAGTGAGTCGGCGTGTTGCTGCGTGCAGTGCGGTACGTACAGTGCGTCGGCGTGCTGCTGCGTGCAGTGCGGTACGTACAGTGCGTCGGAGGGTGCTGCGTGCAGTGCAGTATGTACAGTGCGTCGGCGTAGTGCTGTGTGCAATGCGGTACGTGCAGTGTGTCGGCGTGGTGCTGCGTGCAGTGCGCTACGTACAGAGCGTCGGCGTGGTGCTGCGTGCAGTGCGGTACGTACAGTGCGTCGGCGTGGTGCTGCGTGCAGTGCGGTACGTGCAGTGCGTCGGCGTGGTGATGCGTGCAGTGCGCTACGTGCAGTGCGTCGGCGTGGTGCTGCGTGCAGTGCGCTACGTACAGAGCTTCGGCGTGGTGCTGCGCCCGCAGCGCAGCAGCCAGGCGAGGCGAGGGCGCGCTGCGCAGTGCTCGCAGCGCCCGCAGTCCGGCCGCTGCGGCCTGCGCCGTGCCGCCGCCGCCCGCCTTCTCGTCCGCGCCGCCGCGGATGGCCTCCTCCAGCACGTTCTCCAACTTCTGCGGACCCCATACACCACTCGTCACTACACTCACTTGAAATTCATTCCCGACAATCTCACCGATCTAAATGTTCACAATACGTTTAACGTTGTAGAGCCACGCCGCAAGTATATTATGGTTGCAACACTAATGGATCCGCTCAATCGAGTAAGGACCACACTCTCACAGAATACCAGCGTGAAATAGAAGCTAAATTCTGCTGAGCCACTTTTAGTCCACATGAGTAACAATGCATTCAGAATTTTATAATTCTTAACCGAGGATAGATGGTGGTACATCCACTCACCATCAGCGTGTGTCAGCTTATCACTCTTATCTATAAAAAAATATGTGGCTAAATAATTAAAATAATTAAATAAGAAAATAAAATCTATAGCGTTTATTACAGACCTTGATTATTATATAATATTTGATTCTGTTTTTCTTATCGAGTTAAACAAATAAATAGGTTGAATCTTTTTGATCTCCCCCAACGGATTCTCGCCGTAACAGGAGGGAAGGCTTGCGTTAAACAAAAAAAAAACACTTTGCTCTCCCATGATGAAGACCCAGCTTGAGGTGGCCGATTAATGTGGCCTTGCCCCCTTCGGATGTGCAATTAGTGGACTGTGGCGGGAGGGCACTCCCTCCCGCCACGGATACGGCTCGTGTGGGTAGAGGACATTTCCTCTACCCCCACCAGCCGTATCCGTGGTAGTCATGGGATAGGAGGCCTGTTACACAAATGGAACTGAAGAACATAGAGAAAAACACGCCTAGTGTTTAATCGCACTTTACCTAAGCAAAAATGGGGGGAGGAGAGCTGCGAATTTGTGTGAAAGCGTTATTGTAAATATTCTCCTGAGAGAGCAACACGAAACAATAGCAGAATACGTTGTGGTGCTTGTTTTTTTAATGTCTTAGTACGGTTCTAATATTGTAGAGGGTGGGAAATAGCCGTAGCCGGATCCTACGACAACTGGCAATACCACTTTTTTTATAAAAGAGGGTGCAAACCAGCATGCGGCTCACCTGATGTTAAGTGACTACCGCCGCCCATGATCAACCGCAACACCAGGGGAATTGCAGGTGCGTTGCCGGCCCTTTAGAAAGGAGTAAGCTCTTTTCTTGAAGGTCCCCAGGTCGTATCGGTCCGGAAAAATCGCCGATGGTAAACTATTCCACAGAGAGGTCGTACGCGGAAGAAAACTCCTTTTGAAACGTACAGTGGTGGACCGCCAAGCATCCAGGTGGTGTGGATGGTATCGGGACGTTTGCCGCGTAGTGCGTTCACGAAATTTGGCGGCTGGGATTAATCCGAACAATTCCTCAGAACACTCCCCATGGTATATGAGAAATAAAATGCAAAGATATGCAACATCTCTTCGCAGCGCCAGTGAATCGAGCCGATCGGAAAGCAATCGGTCGTCAACGATTCGAACCGCTGTGCGCTGGATGCGGTCAAGTGGAAGGAGCTGGCACTGGGGTGCCACAGCCCAGAGGTGAGAACAGTATTATATAAGTATTAACACGCAGCCTTGTGGAACACCAGCGTTAATAGGCTTGTAATCAGAACATGCACCGTCTACAACAGTAATGCACAAACTTATTAAGACTAGGGGCCACTCGGGCAAATTATGAACTGATGGCGGGTAGTATAGGTAATTAAAGACAATAAAGAATTTATAATAGTGTATTAAAATTTAAAAAGAATTTATTAATTTGAAGCGTGGCACTGCATAGTGTTTACAATCTTTTTTATATTTTGCTCAAATTTACTTGTAGCAACACGTAAAACTGCTTCCAAACTTTCATTTGCAAGGCGGTTTCGATTTTTTGTTTTATTATTATTTAGTAACCAAATAAGCTGGCACATTTCAAAGCGTTTATGCGCAACTCTTTGTACGTATTTTTATCAATGCAGCGGTAAAAGTTCAGCAAGTCTCAATATTGGTAAATCTTGGTCGTATTGGATGTCGATAATTTCTAACTGCATTAACTCTGGCGCATTTTCAACTGAAATCGTGAAAGGATTGCTGAATATGTCCAACAGAGGTTTCACTTTTTTAAACTCCGAAAATCTGTCTTGAAAATATTGAATCAAAATATCTAGCTTGTCTACATAACTGAAATTAATCGCAGTTTTGTTGAATTTTTCAGCCATTTTCTTATAATTCGGAAAATGATTGTAATTTCCAGAATTCAATTGCGATCTGAAAAGTGTCAGCGTGCATTGAAAGGAGCCTAGACGTGAGCCTAGAGCTGGGATATCAGTTGATTTTTGCCTTGAAGCTGTGTGTTCAAGACATTCAAATGATTTGTAATATCAACTGAAAAAGCCAAGTCACACAATCAATCAGGATTTTTAAGTTCCGGGACATCCGTTTGCTTTTCCGCCAGTAATATTCCAATTTCTTCTATTACATTTAGAAATCGTTCCAGTGTCAATCCACGACTTAGCTACCTTACTTCTGTATAATACAGTAAATCTCCTTATTCGCTTTCGATGTCATCAAGGAATTGTTTGAATTGCCTGTGATTGCACTTTCATGACATTTTGAAATTCATTTTTTTTTTAAAACAGAGGGCATCTTGGTGTATAATGCAGTGAAACTGCATGAGATCTTCAGCGTTTACGTTTTTTTTCTTGCAGATGCTTTTTCAGCAAAGTAACTAGCCCAGAATAACAATAACTAACAAATCATCGAAGGAGCACCGTCAGTCGCAACTCCCCATAATTTTGATAAGTCCAAATCAGTTTTAACACTCAATCCAAAAGTACATTGAGTATATCAACTCCTCTGGTTTGACCTTCAAATGAACACATTCCTAATAACTCTTCTAAGACTTCAAAATCTTGAGTAACACCCCGTATGAATATCAGAAGTTGAGCTTTGGAACTAATATCAGTGGATTCGTCGAGTGCTAATGAAAAAAATTCAATGATCTTAGTTTTTTCATTTAATTGTTCTGCAATATTACCTGACAAAGACATAATTCGTCTTTGGATAGTTATACGATTCAGTTGAATTTTCTCAAACTTTTTTGCTGCTTCTGGACACATTTTCTTAGCGGCAATTTCTATGCATTCTTTTACAAAATCCCTATCATTGAAGGGGCGACTTCGCTTTGCTATCATTCGAGAAACTTCATAACTAACTTCTGTAGCTGTTTCTGAATCTTGAATGGGTTTTGTAAACATAGCTTACTGTCCAATAAGCTCCTTTCTTTTTTTTTTAATTCTTTTTCATCTTTAACCTTACGTTTTTTACTAGGTCCTGGCTTGTCCATGTTGCGTTCTAATCCTGGCTAGGATTAACACAGCGCCTAAAAACAACTACAGTACCTACTTAAATTACCCATCCTTTTTTAAATTACCAAAAATAATTGATTAAATAGGTAGGGAAACACTTATTAATAACAGAGTTTTACTTACGATTTCACAACACAATTATACACGGCACTTGACGGGAAATCTACGTTGAATGTGAATCAAAATATATGACACCGGCTAGTCGAGTTAAAATCTACACTAGAACTATTGACACTTCACTCAAATTAAAACCGAACTGTCGGTCGCTGCGGTTAGCGTGGTTTTTATACCGCGCGTATAGAGTCGAAAACTGTCTGGAGAAATCACGAAACCGACTCTGGAAGCTTCGTGTATCTACCTACGCGAGCAATCGGGAATTCGGGACTATTGCTATCTGGCTTGCTCTAACAATATAACCCGTGGATAAGGCGCCACCGCGATGCCGTCGTCGCCACGCCGCCGGCCGCGGCGGTTCCTCAAGAAAACGAATTTAACCGAGATCAGCACGAACATTACCGACCGCTGTTACCGACGCATGCACGGCGCACCGATAATCAAATCAAATCCGCCGCGCGAGTCAAATTACTTTTCGAACATATTTTTTTTTTTGGTTTTATTCTGGAATATAATTCAATATTTTTCGAATGTACGAGAGTATTATTTTTGCTGTCGGCAGGCCACCAGTATTCTGTGCATCTATGGTCTACAACGACCTTGATGCTCTGATCAGAAATTAAACTGGTGATCCAATTGCACAATTTCTCGAGAAACCCATTGGAAGGGAGCTTCGAAAGAAGCGCTTTGTGCCAGACCCGATCGAAGGCCTTCGATAGCGTGAACATAGGTCCAAACTAACAGGCAATTCCTCCCCCTTAGACTCTACTGCCTCTGCCCTTCTATGAGTCAGGTAGACCAGAAGATCAGACCAGTAGACAGTTAATCGACCACGACGAAAATCATATTGGCGGTCACTAATCAGCTGGCGATCCTCAAGGTACCTCATGAGCTGGCAGTTTATAATGGACTCCATTGTTTTGGAGAGCAAGTAGGTGATGGCGATAGGCCGGTAGTTGGACGGGTCAGAGCGATCGCCTTCTTTAGGGATCGGGTGGACGAAAGCAGTCTTCCATGATTTTGGGACTACGTCTAGGGAGTAGGAGTACCGGAAAAGACGCGTTAAAACCGGTTCAACTCTGGAGCACACGTCCTCAGCACAATTAGGGGGATTCCGTCAGGCCCACTCGACTCGTGGATGTCCAGGGAGAAGAGTGCTTTGCGAACCGAGCGCTGTGTGAACTGCACTTCCGGCATGGAGCACTCATACCGCGGGATGGTCGGCGGCGTACTCCCCCCGTCATCGAGAGTCGAGTTGGATGCAAAGAAAGAGCCTAGCAGATCGGCTTTCTCCTTTGCGGTATGGGCCAGTGAGTCGTCCTCCCTGTGCAGAGATGGAAGAGATGGCTGACAGAAATTCCAGTGGACAGCCTTGGCGAGAGACCAGAATGCACGGGTTCCAGAAGAAAGGCGAACTAGTTTCTCGCCAATTCTTGTTCTCGCAATTTCTTTGCCTTGGCAATGACTCTTTTGAAGGACCTAGAGGCGGAATTATACTTCTTTTTTAGAGTTTTTTTTGGTGTTTGCATCCCGGGACGTTGATGCGTCAGCCCAAGCTTGGAAGCACTCCTGCTTATATCATGATTTGCCTCCAATGGGCACCACAGAGGAAGGAATAAAAAGTTCCATACCCTGAAGTACCACATCAGCGACAGAATCCGCAACAACGTTGGGATCGTCCGGCGAGAAGCAAACCCGCCCCCAAGGGTAGGATGCAAAGAAAGACCGCATCCCATCCCAATCGGCTGACCTATAGTGCAAAACACGACGGCAGCCTGCAGAATGCAACTGCGATTTCAGCATGAGTGGCACCACACTCTGGACATGACAATGGTCCGAGGAGCCTAAAGGGGCGTGGATGGAAATCTGATATCCGTCCGGGTGGGAGGTCAGCAAAAGGTCCAACAGGGAAGGTGCATGATCCTCCTACTAGCATGATTTAACTAGCATTATTCAGGATAACGTATAGGTGTACGGACGCGAGTATGTAACCCAATTACCAGTCTAACGATAGAAATATATTTCCACGTACCATACATACATACTCATTTTTAGCATACATATACTCCGTGCATAAACAAAATTTTCTAAGAAAATATTTTCATGTGAGACCATAGAATAATTAAAACCATGGCTAAAAGAACATTCTGTTTAAAACATATGACGTAATAAGTAGATATGACTAATGAAATCGTTAAATAGTAGCAACTAAAATACTGAATATAGTTGTTAATTTGTAACAAAGGCTATCTGGGGGCACGCGATAACGCACCACCGCGCGCTATCTCCCGCCCCGTCACTACACTCCACGTGGCATACCATCGCTTATCTCACTTGCTAATGCTTAGTTTCCAAAACATTAAACATAGGTAATCAATTATAAGTAAGCACAATAAGTAATCAAATGTACACACTGTCTCACTACATTAAGAAGAAAAATATTTTATAATAAATTTAATAACAGTTAGAAATGTTTAGGTATTTAAAACGACGAACTCTTATATTACAGTAAATAAATGATATTATGTTTAAATTGTAAATTATATATAATATTTACACTTATTTTAAACATTACCCCACTCTAAGGTTTTCTCCTGTATCGTGCCGGCAGTTTACATAAATTGCACAAGAACAAACTTCCAGACCTCTAACAATTATTTGTAGGCCATACAAATAATTTTCCATGCGTGATTCGAACTCGCGGCCCTCAACACTGCTATTCATTGTTAAGCCACCACGTCGAAGCAAACAAATGGGTTTCAAACGACATTTATTTAATGTATAAAAAATATCGCATGAAACACTTTCCTTCTCACGGGTGCCGAATGACATGACTTTAAAATTATCAGAAAGACGTCACTGCTTCCGATAGATGGCGGTAATCTCGTTGGTGTCAGGCGTAAACTCGGACGGCTCAGATCAGTGACGAGGACCAGGTATGAGACGTCGGTATTGTGATCACCAATCCACCCGCATGCGAGGCCCATGTTTAGTAGTGAACTTTTACTAGCTGATGTTAATAAAACAGGAACATATTGAATTGGATTATTTTAACCAGAGCTACAACATGGTGTGAGAGAACTCTTCTGACTGAATTCCAGGATATTAACGACAGTGTGATCTAGAGCTTCATCGCTGCTTACCACCAGGTCGATTCTGGTCAAGCACTACCTTATAAAAATTTAAAAAATGCATCACGTCTTGATTGTTGATGGACTGATAGAAAATACTTCAGACTTTAAGTCCCTCTATATATAACAAATTATTATGTTTATTGAATTTATAAACAATAAAAATCTGCTTGTCTGATTTCCCAAAAATTCATCCCAAAAACTTTCAAAACTAAAGTGTATAAGTCATATGTGTTGCTATCAACTTACTATTTATAGAGACAAGATGTTTCACTGCTGACTGTATGAGGAAGTTTAAAGTTGCTCAGGACCTACGGACAGGAGTATAATTTTGAAACTCTCTGCAAGATTGAAACCATATTAAAGGATTTGCAATATAACTAGGGTAGCCAACATGGTCCGAAGGACAATAGGCTGAGAATATAGCATAAAGAACTGATATAATTACAGGTTTTTGAGTTGTCTCATACTCTGTGGCAATCAATATTCATCTGTAGGCCTGTGATGAGGGATGATTTATAAAACCCCAAATCTGATTAATTAATAAATATAATCATCATCATTATTATTATTAGGTCCATTTACAAGTCTACAGCTGAAATTGCCCACCACGGATAAATATCACAAAACACTGTCCTGGTCCCGAGCCACATACATCATATCACAAATGTAATGTCGCAGCTAAAAGCATCAAGCAACTTTTATATATAATATATAAACTTATATGCTATAAAACTTAATACACACACTCAATATATTACATTTACATACAAATACATAGATACATAAATGTATACATATTTTAAATACAAATAATATATATATATATATATATATATATATATATATATATATATATATAACATAAACCTATAAATTAAATAACAATAAAGGTAACAAAATTGACCATATTAACTACCATCTAATATCTCCATAAAGTGCTTATATATTAATCTTTTAAAGGCAGTCTTATTAGATATTTTTCTGACGTCATTGGGCAAGGTGTTCCAGAGCAGTGTAGCCTGAATGGTGAAGGATTTATAAACAAAATTAGTAAAATGTAGTGGAATACTTAGTTTATTATTATATGAGGAATGCTGGGTTCTATCATGCATTAAGCAAATATACTGAAATTTCTCCTTGAGATGAGAAGGAGTGGATGGATCATTTAAGATAGAGAAGAGAACAAGCGAAAATCTGATCAAATTTACGAAGATTGAAAATGTATCTGATGCCATTGTAGAGAAGAAGCTTTAACTTATTAAAAAGATTGTGGTTTAAATCCGGGTAACACACATCTGCATAATCAAGTAACTGTAAAAGCAGAGCAAGTAGTATAAGTAACTGTAAAAGCATAATTTTAGTCTTAAAGGAGAGAAAATTTTCCAAGCAATAAAGAGAACATAATGAACCAGAGACTTTACAACATGTTTTGGAGATATTAACCCGACAGGACAGAGTACTATCAATATGGAGACCAAGACTTTTAAATGAGGAAGACAACAGTATCATGCGATCATTATAATAGATGAGAGGTAGGCTAGTGGTATCAATTTTTGAAAGCATCCTTGAGTTGCCCATAATCACCGCTTGGCATTTCATAGCGTTGGCAGACACTCCAAAGGGCATGGACCAATCACAGAGTGACTTGAGATTGGAATTCAACATGTATAATCGCGTTATGGATGTCACAAATGAGAGTGCCACAAATATTTAGGTTTTTCCCCCTTTTTTTATTTTTTAATTAATCGATTTTGTTTTGAGGTAAAGCTTGTGTGGTATATATAATTTAATTTCCATATGCAAATTAAACTACCTCTTAATAGCTATGTTGATTTTAAGTTTTGTAATAAGTTACCTGTGTCAATGCTGTTGGTGTTCCAAATAAAATAAAAAACACATTAAAAGTACAAAATAAAAACATGCGGTAGAAGTAAAATCTTCATAAAACTAAACTTCGAGAGTATGAGATGAATTCAGAGTATCAGTAGGATAGCTGTAGGGCTAACATAATGAAAATATAAATAAAATTATAATAAACACTGTATTGCATTCTATCCCATTCTTTCAATCCTTTATGTGTTCGTCTCTTTTTAGTGTCGCGTTTTAGTTTCGAGTTTCAAATTACAAAAATACTGAATAATTTTCACTTCAATAAAATAAATAAAATATAGCAAGTGCTTACCTCTTCCTCGTCGAGAGGCGCATTAGCAATTATCATGGGTAGTGGCAACGGTTTGAGTTTAGCTGGCAACTCAGCGAGTGCGGCGGCGATGGAGGGGCGAGCGGGGCGCGGAGCTGGCGCGGGCGGCGCGTCGGCGCGGCGCAGGCGTAGCCAGGCGCGCGCCTTCAACTCGGTTTGCATGCTCCGGAAGCCTGCCGTGTGCACCTCCTCCGCATGCACTTCCTCCAGCCCATCCAGCTTCTCGCTCAGCGTGTAGCGCGTCAGACGCCGAGTTGTAACCACTTCGTCTTCTATGTTCCCATCAACAGCTCCGACAGCTCGACACTGTCTCTAATTAAGGCAAACTGTATTTAGTCTCTTTACTTTTTCTCATTGTAGAACAGTAATAGCTAATGCTTACCTTAGTCTTCCTGATAATTTGCATTGAGATAGAATCATATGTGACATCACATATGCCTGATATGTCAGTTTCATTATGCCCTCCATCTATTATTTGAAGCTGAAAAATAAATTAGTAATACCATAAATGTTTAGGTACAACACAGACTTGATGTAACTAAATCTAGATATGCACTTCAAGGACTAGAATAGAATAGAATATTTTTTATTCAATATATAGGTGCAGTGAAGTTGATAAATTAACTGTATTTTATATTGTTTTACCATTCAGTAAGGAAATGCAGCCAGCATTCTTGGCACAATATTGCAATAAAGACTGTATATACGACTGTATATATATAAGACTGTATGATAATTTAAATTTTCAGTTGTTTTCTTATTGTCATAAATTTTGTATATCTTGAAATTATGTTTATGGAATAAATATTTTTCTATTCTAAGAAAAATATTAAATTAATTATTGTTTTCATTTTAAAAACTGTATAAGGTTTTGTGTATTTCTGAGGATTCAAGGAAACCGTAATGATGGTAGTCCTTTCAATTAAATCAAATCACATAAGCTGACAGGTTTTTTACTAAAAATAAAAAAATAAACAATAAAAATTTACCTGGAACAAACTAATCAAGGATTTTTTGTAATTCAATACATCTGATAATTCTTCAGGGTCCAAATATGCCTCTGCAATAAGTCCATTTTTCCAGTATGCAAAGAATTCAGTGTTGGGGTATGAATCCCAAAAGGACTTAATTGGAAGGTAATCTGCAGTAACTGATTTTCCTTTTGCAAGAAGTTTTGGGGAATGTAACTGAAAATAAGTTTTTGAGATTATTTATGAACACAATTTTATAAATATTTAATTGTCCGTTTGTAAATACATACATTATGTACCATGAGTACCAATACATATTTCTATTTCTCATTATTCTAATACACTTTGTGATATTTCAATGATGTGGATAATAAGAAGAAAATGAATATTGAATGTGAAATAATTATTTTAAAATCTTGTATGATAATGATAACAATATAGAGGCGGTGTAAAAATATCCACTGCTCTTACTCCTTCCATGGGTGTTATGTGCATAGATGTGTGGAAAAATATGCTAAGAGTGTACAAGAACTACAAATGATTTAATGATGGGGAAGGAAGGGTGATGTGGAGCCAAGAAGAGTTACTTACCAGGTGAAACTGAGGATTGTTAAATACATTTTCATCTTGAAAAAAAAATTAAACAATATAATGTCCAGTAATCATGTATATTAGGGTTCCGGGGGTATAAGGCAAATATCCTTATGAAGGAGATGACCTTAAGGCAATTAATTAAAGATAGTGACTTTTAGATACTAAATAAAACAATATGACAACCTGATAATGCATGCAAGAAGATGGATGCGGGTGGCCCAGGACAATATTTTGTGCTAATATAAAATAATTGCTTGGAGTATTATGTATAGTACCTATCGGTCTGTAAAGGATTATAATAATGAAATACAACTACAGAAGTATTAAATTTTTAAAACCATCAGCTGTGGCTGCAACAATTCATCCATATTTAAACATTAAATGTTATCATGTAACAACTAAATTTATACAGGCCACGATTTATTTTTGGGCTTTCAAATCGATTATTATAGGTTTACACAGTTGAGCGCTTGGTATGAAACAACCGAGATAAATTATAAACCATATCACGAAGGCGCTGATAAAACAAAAGCCAGTAAAGTATACATACATCAAATTTTAAAAGGAACTCAGAGTCAATGCCCCATACAGCTTGCACGTCTAGGTTGGCGGTGATTTTATACCCGACCTCCTTGTCCTTCCTGCCCGCATCGTTCAACAGGACCATACTTTCCACGCTGTAAGTCGCCGGCGATTGGAATAATTTAATTTCACCATATTCTCCCCGCGGAATCGACGTCGATACTCTAAACCTTATGCCTAACGAAAGAAAAAATACTAATAATATATTCATACTGTTAATTTATAAATAAAAGCACTGAAGTTTAATAGTTTACGACTTCGATAGATCTTTTTTTAACGAGACAAAATGACACCACAGTCACACAACATCACAACGTCCAATCGCAGAGCGGAATGAATAAATGAATAAAAATAATTGAATGAAATGAATTATGAATTGATAAAAATAAATACGCAACTGAACGTATGAAATATGAATGACGTTTTTTTATATTATTTAACCGGATTTACGGCTCTGGGTTCTAGCTTTTCTGAGCCAATCATTTCTTTCGGGATCCTCATTTTTATAGATTTTTTCGTCACAATACACTGATTTTGACGACAGCTCAAGCCGGCGGATAGTTGAGGACGACAGTCACTCAAATTCATAAAGCGCCTAAGCGATCAAAATAACTTGAGGTTTATTTATATCAACATCGAAGCACTTGTTTCGTTTTCTCTGATATTTTACACGCGTAGACACTTAATTCACAAAATCGCATCACTTTTACGAATCAAAATTCACTTCAAACAATTATTTAAGCGATAAAACATGAGCAACAGTCCGTTGACGCCCAAGTTCCCGCCAAAACTCCGAGTGAATGACGTATAACGAGTAGGCCAAAGAGTAATTATTACATCGCCAAAGAGTTATATTACACATAAAGATTTTTTAAATTTATATATTTAAGTGCTGTTATATTTTTTCAACGAATATTACATTATTTGAAACAGTTGTTACCACCGCTTTATGTTATAATATAAATTAAATGTTATAAGTTTTGTTATAGAAGGACAATTCGCGCCAGTATCTAATAATAATCGTTTATTAATATTATAGTTTTTCTTTTTCAACATGTGTCATGATATGTTGTTTAACCGTGAGTTTAAACTAACAAGATTTTCACAAAGAAAAAACGTGTTTAAAACACTACTTTCTGACAGTGTTATCGAATCGCGTTTGCATAGTCAAAGAATATGTTGTTGTGAAATATGTTTGACAGCTTATTGTACAATACCTATTGTAATTAAATTATCTCTATATAATTACCGAAAAAAATGTTTGAAAACAGATTTGTAGAAATATTGTCATGTTAAAAGATAAGTTTCACGTTAATTTTGTATTTGTGCCTTCAACTTTTTAATAATATCAATCATTATATTCTAGTGAGGACGAAGTTTTAATTTTTTTATCTATCAGTGTTGTACATTTACAACAAAAAATATTGTAATTAGTATTGATTTTTATTTCCTTGTTTAAACTCATCTCAATGACTTTATATACAGAACTAATTTTGTTGGAGAAATTTTGTCTCCGTCATGTGTGTTCTAGTATTCTGCACGTTAAAAATGTGGATGTTTGGTTAGAATTGAAACACAGCTTGGTGTTTGACTTGAAGTTTTAATCTCTTTCTCTTCACAGCTATATCGTCTTGTCACAGTGGCTTCCCGTTTGCTAGTGCTTGTCTTTAAAATCTAGCATCCCCTCATTCTTACTTCTCATTCAGTCACTCGCTCATTGTTCACTCATTTTAAATACTTGCTCTTTCACTCACTTTCATACTGTTATCTTGCTATCTTTATCACACATTCATTCTGTCACTTCATTCCTTTACGTTCCGTCCCACAAAAATGTATTTCTGCACCTAAAAACCACCTGCTATTAGGAGGCCAGAATACAAACACTAGTCGCTGCGGCGATATCAGTGCATGGCGGTCATGTTCTGTCAATATTATAATACTAAGCGTGCAAGTGAGACATTGTAGGCTCAGTATTACGATCATGGAGTGTAGAGCTAAGAAGAACCATCTCTTTATTAAAAAGTCTCCGAAGGAAAGCGATAAATAAGGGTGGCACCGCTGTAACTAGAGGGTAAATTTTAAAGAACTTTTTATAACTACATCGCACAGACTTTCACCATAATTATTTTTTATACTAATTATTTTATTGTTTTTGAAATTATTGTTTTCAAAATCACTCTCAACGTGTTTCACGACGACTTTTTCTAGGTTATATTTACTAAATAATTTTGGACAACGTGAGTAGTATAGGTTTTAACTACTGCACTTTTATCAACTACTCTATAAGCATATTCTATTTTTATTATAGTCACCACAAATATTAAATTCTTCTACTCAGCACACTTCACTCCGTCGACAACTGCTAAGTTCATTTCATACCCTCTAGCTACTCCAGCGCTGTTGTGGAGAGTTTTTGAGCTGTTATTTACTGCTTACAGATTTTTTCAACTTTTTCTCCTTACCTTCACACTCCACGATTACGATCCCGTTAAAACCCTTTGAGTACGGACTAATGAAACGATAAATATTGTTGCCATTATATACATTAGTGTTATTTTTCAAGGGGTAGTCAAATTTTAGGCTTCTACTTTTATTTAAAATTATCCCAAATTTAATCTGATTTATGGGCAAGAACGTTTTTGCCTACCGATCGACCCTTACGAATGTTTTCGTGTACAGTAAAATCACTCAAATTAATGCATTACCGTGCACTTTGAATTTAAAAAATAAAAACGATACAAAGTTTGAGATTTTTTAATTAATTTTTCTTCACCGTTTGTCTACATTACTTATTTTGAACCTTCTCTGAAAATTTGACCAGTTATCACTAAATAACCCTGTGTAGCTTTCCAAGGAAGCACAGATTATAGGAATAAGCCTAAACTTTGGCAAACTTTGTAAAATTACGAGATAAAGGTGGTACATGCTCTCATATTTCTTTCTCATATATGCAATTAGTGGAAGGAATATTTCTTGTCACTTAAAACACATTACGAAGATGGCAGTGACAAACTACATTATTTGAGCCAAGCAGTCTCTAGAGTAGGTATTCGTATTTCGTATCTAAGTCTAATTACTTTATATATCTAAGTATATTTTTGAGGTAGAAGAAATCAAAAACAAATTCGATATTTTAAATTACCAAAATAATTTTATTTGACTACGATTGCCGCAGCCAACCGTGCGTACACTTGTGTGCGTGACCCGTGTCAATGTAATAGTTCGATTCTATACCTATATCAATTTTGTAAACGCGTCCTCAAAAAATATTAACGTAAATACTGCGGCAAAAAGAGCGACACGTCTTCATAGCACCAGGCCTCGGCCAACAGTGACTTTCCGTATATACACTCTTATCTATGACAGTGACTCTGCACAGGCATTTACGCAAACATCCGTACGTATTATTTCAGAAATAAGAATACCATTAAAAACATAACCTGTAAAAAACAAGTCTCGCAACTCAGTTCTTCTACCGTAAAAAGTTGTGAGATCCATGTAATACCAAGTCGGTTAATTTATTCAGTTCTTACTTAAGGGTCCTTCTGTTTTAGGTTATTACGTAATTAGCTAACCTAACAACATTTTATAGTGACCGCATCGCATGAAACCACAATGTATCTCACAAGTAATACGTATTATATTAAATTAGATTGCTTAATGCGATTGCCAAGTCAATCTACGAGTACATATTTAAAACATAAAAGAATTTTAAAATTGATATGGTCACTATAAAATGTTGTTAGGTTAGCTAACTCTCGCTACAGTTCTTGCCCCCCTGTCTTCGGGCAGGGAGGTCTGACTGACTTCCGCTTTTCATTTTCATTTTTCATTTTCACTTGTCATTTCATTTTCATTTCATTTCATTTTCATTTATCATTTATCATTTTTTTTGTGTACTGTCATATTTTCTTGTGTTCTTGCACTAATATTACGTGTATAGTGTGTCGTAGTACGTCTCGCGATCTAGTCCCTGTTCTACCGAGAACAGGGACCCGTCCTCACCTAGCTTAGCTTACTGACCCAAAATGGCCAGTCTCACTGAGTCACTCGCCGCCCTCATTAACCAATTCGGTTTAAATGGCAATGAGACGGTCCTCGCCGCCATCGCCACCATCGCCGCCCAGGCTCCCCTCCCTGCCCCTCAGGCACACCTTCCGCCGCCGGTAATCGCGTCTTACCTCGAAACGAGGAACTCCTTTGCCCCGCTAGAATCTGCCCCCTTAGAAATGGAGTACGCATGCTCCGAGTCCTTGGCACCGACCTCCCGGAAGAGGCCCGCCACCACCTCAGGCTCCGGTTCATCGGAGTCCTCTGACTCCGCCGGAACCGGGGAGTCCACTTTCACCACCGTCACCTCCAAGCGCAACGGTAAGCGCGCCGCGTTAAAACCCCCCCCCCTACTTCAGCGGCCCCTGCCGCTCCCACAACCTCCGCAGCCCTCAACGCTGCCGCCGTCCCACTGATGTCACTAGACATCCCCAAACCGCCCAAACCAGCCTCTCGTTGTGCTCCAGTCCTTGCTAAGAAGCAAGTCCCGCCCCCTGTCTTCCTAAGAGACAAGGCAAAATTCACCCAATTATCCAAAACCTGCTACGACGCAGGTATCAAGTACGATCATGCCATCAACCTCGGGGAGGCGATCAAAATCATCCCTGCCTCGATCGAGGAATTCCGTCAGATCACCCGGCTATTCACAGCCGAACGAATCTCCTACCACACATACGCTCTCCCGGAAGAGCGTAAAGTCAGGGCCGTCATCCGAGGCGTCCCATTTGAGTTCTCAAACGAGGAAATCCTTGAGGACCTTAAGTCCCAAGGTTTCCCCGTAGAAGCAGTGCACAAAATGCACAACAGAACGGGCAAGAGATACAACCTTGCCCTAGTAATCCTATCGAACGTGCCGGAGGCTAAAGCCATCTTCCGGCAGGTACGCACAGTGCGTGGCCTGTCAAGGGTGAAGGTAGAGCCCCCACATAGGCCCGGTTTCCCGGCGCAGTGCCACCGCTGCCAACTTTATGGTCACGCGGCGGCCAACTGCTCCGCCCCACCCAGGCAGTGCCTAGAACCACATAACACAAAAGA